GAAACATGTTGAAGAAAAAAGGAATACTTATCTTTATGACTGTAACTGTGGTTGGTTAGGGTAGTAGATTACATTAACAAACCATTTTTGTATTTTTTTTCTCTGACACTTTCATGGATTAGTGGCATCAACTTGTGACTGCAGAAACAGCAACTGTTGTCTGCAGGGGCTGCCTTTTCTAAACCACAGTAACAGTATCTGTTGTCAGTCAAACACCTCTCAGGAATGTAAACATCCTTGCTTTGTGTATAGGTTGTGTGCTCATGACCTTGCTCGGGTAGCCATACCAACATGATAAATTCATGTCTAAAAATGTCTTGCCATCTCTTATTGTATGAAGAGTTCAAGCTCAACTGGTGTAAGGCAATATGCTTAGCTTCTCTACCCTCCATAGTAACGGTCAAGAGAGACCCTGCTGGTAGTTAGCGTGAACTTGTCTGGCATGAACAGGGAGAACATGGCCCAGTGTCCACATAGTTGGGTTTACTGGGTATGGGAGGAACAGTCTGTTTGCATAGAAATATTGATTTGCTGCTTCATCCAATCTGTCCAGGTCTGCCTCTTCTACATCCAGGCTGTTAAGAATAGAAACAATCTCTCAGCCTGATGCCTATGTAAGCCAGGGCAAGCAAAGTTTGCCTTTGCTTGGGGCTGTCCTCCTCCTTGCTCAGATGTTTAATCAACCTCATGATGTTGTGGCAAAACAATCGAGAATCTTTTCCAGTAAATCTATATTGAAGATCACCCTTCCTACCTTGGGTCTCCTCAAACCAAGTCCTTACCTTTTTTGCAACACGTTTTACTTTCACTTCATACTGAAGGGCATTTACTACACTAACAAAACAAGTATCCTGAGGGAGATCAGCAAACACTTTCTGTGATGGCAGAAGATTAGATTTACCAAGTGTTTCTTTAATAACTGCTTTGAGAAAGTACTGCCAAGCATTATTTTTAAGATGAAGGGGCTCAACATGGGCTTTATCAATTACTCTTCCAATGACAGGTAGGAACTCTTGACGGCTATTCTGTTTTGCGATGAATTGTGTCACTTTTGATCTCTTGGTGCTTTTAGTCAATGATGGTGAAAGGTTTGACTTAAAATCAGCAACTTTTTTAGCCACTGAAATCCTGTCATTATAGCACCATGGCTTCCACTTGCAGTCATTACCTGTTCCAAACTTACCGTTAAGGTCTCCAGCATCAATTGAACTTACATTTGCGAATGACGAGAAAAAAGTAGCAGCATTTGAGAGCTCACCACCAAGCATTGCAAGCATTTTCATATCATTTGGCAGCTCTTCAATGTGGAAGGTAACATGAAAACCCTCAATGTGATATACCTTTCCAATCATATTATTAACCTGTTTGCAGAACGCTTGTATATATTTTCTTACCACCAATGATGTCTCCTCACAGTTTGCTCCAAACACTAAAAAGTTGTCACTGCTAGAGGCCACTCTCTTTCCTACATTCAGAAAACTGACAAGAAAAGAACAAGCCGTTTCATTCTTACCAAAAGGGCAACCATCCCCCCTCAAATGCAATCTTAAAAGTGCCCTCAGTCCCCCCAAACCACTTTAAGTTATCCTTTCTTGACTTAGATCTTAAATAGAAACAAGCTAGCCTTGGTAAGTATTCTTCTAGATCTCTAAAGCTGCCATTTAAGGTACCTTCTCCCTCAAAACTAGAAGAAAACACTTCATCAACAGAATATGTTTTGCCTATGTCTATAGAATTGATTTCTTCCATGAGATTATTATATGTTAGAAGCTTAGGTATGCTGCAGGAAGAAAGATATTTGATAGCAGTTCTCCCTCCCCTTTTTTTTATTTGATGCCTTCATTGAAGATGCAACCCTTACAGCTTGATACTTCCTCTTTCCCATGACCCCTGAATTGTAATAGACTGCTATGCTTCTTAATTTGTTAAGATGTGAACTTGCAAAATTGTTAATTTCCTTCTTTTGGACCTTATCAACTACATAATTAGTTACTTGGCTATTTAAAAGTATATAATCTCCGAGCTCGCTAGTCTTGCAGCGCTTTTGAAGAGTATCAAAAAGCCCATCTATTGCTGGACGTTTGTTGTTTTGTGTGGCTCCATGTATTTTACAAGCCATCTCATATGTTTGAGTGTTAAGCCTTACTGCTGTCCTTCGAGCAATTGTTGGATTTAGTAGTGAGGTTGGAGATCTTGTGATTCCTTTATTTTTCAGCTGAATAAATGAAAAAAAAGAAATATATACATGAGTGGGCAAATACATGAATAAATGAATGATTGATTAAAGATTGTAAATTATCATTATTCATTACCTATTCCACCAAAGCTCATATAAAAGCTATGGTGAATAAAGCTCATTTGAATTTCACTGTATTTACA